CCGAAGGGCTCGGGGCAACAAATTCATTAAACACTTTAAAGTTGTGCCGAGCCGTTCGGGCACTGGTTTCCAGCCAAAAACACTGTGATTTAGGCATGAGTATTCCACCGATTTTTTAGGAGTTGGCGCACTGCGGTGTTATAACTCATAAACCGATGAGTTCTAACGCGTTAACTCACAGAGCGGCAACAACCCGCAAGCGCAACTCAACCCAGGGTTGTCCAGGTCTAGTCCAAAGAACACATGTGTATCATACCTTATGGTATTATGTGGAAGGTTTTAGAACTTGGCCCACTCTGTAGCAAATGGAACAGTTGAGTGCGTTTGATCGGCCAATCCAACCGCAGCACGTGTTTTCACTGTGAATGGTCGAACTTGTTCACCCAAGTCGTAAATAATAAGTTAGAAAACTGAACTTAACCGGTCGAGTGATTTATCGGTTCAACTCCCTGGACGAGGAAGCGTGTGGCCGGCTAAGAAATCTGCTAAGTCCATATAATTGCGTCACGATCGCCCCAATGCACGGAAAAAATCCAATCAAAAGTCTGACATTCAATTAAGTCGGGAATGTGCACTAAATGACATCTTCTTGGAAATTTATCGACGAATCCCGAAGGCTTTTTGTGTCGCACTTTGTCCAAAAATCCAAAAAGCCTCATTAAGAGCCAAAGTTATTTTTGGTTATTCGCTTGAAGCGAGTCGAGAGCTGCGAGGCTCAGGTGTGGCGCCCCCCTTTTTATTATTTGAGGGAATTATTCGGAGAAAAGTGACTGGATCTCGGTTTAGGCCTGCTTGCGCTCCGAAAGTTTCCGAAAGAGATTATCCACTTTGTGTTCGCTCCGATTGATGTATTTCCGCATTTAAGCCTGTACATATAAGCTAATGTAGAGTAAAAATTACAAGTAGAATGGGCCCTAAAAGTCGATCAGTCGTGGCGCCTCAAAGCCCCGTTCCTCACTTCTAGGAGGCGCTCGACTTCCGCGTTGGCCGTAGATTTGCCCGATTCGCTTCATCACCTCTCGCCTGTTCCGGATGTTCCTGAAATCGCTCCCATTTTCAGTCCCGAATGTAGATCAATTTCGGGTCTGTCTCACTCTCACCTTACCGCGTGCGCCAAGTTTCCAAACTGGGGCGAAGTGGACGTACTGATCTCCCTCAAATCAAAGGCCTGCCGCTTGCTCTTCTCACTCTGCAAGCCGTCGATCATTTCATTGGCGTTCGCCTTTTGGTTGTCCATCCCTTCCTCAATCAGCTGCCCGTCCAATACTTCTGCAGCGTCCTCGGACAGTGACGCACCAATTTCTAGAGCAACAAACACATTCCAGCTGGCTGGGACAGAGCTGGGATGCTTGCAGACCTTTCTTCGACTTCGGCTTGACGCTGGACGAGTTCGGCTCCAGCGGGGGGCTGGTGGGGGCTCCAGTGGCGGGTGCCCCGTTCGTTTCGCCTTTTTCGCCCATTCGCTCGATCATGGCCAAGTGCGTTTCAATGTACTCCTTAACCGGTTCCGCTCGTTCTTTACAATCGGCCGGCAGGTTGTCGTATTTATTCAACAGTTCCTTCAGCACGCCCGCTTTTTCCTGAATATTGTCGTTTTGCCCGGTGTGGAACACATAGTTGCTTTGGTGTTCATCGAAATCTAATTGAAATTGATTAGAGAGCGTGTTTAGACTGGGACAGAGCGAGGCTTTCTCGCATGAGGAAAAGGAACGGCTATATGTATAGGGTGGTTCAATTGGTAGGCGTTACAAGTTCGGTTGAATTAGACAGAAGCTGTCAAGGTTGATGACAAGTTAATATCTCGGGACACTGCTGCCACATGTACCTAAACGTAATGTGCATCAATGAAATCAGGATAAAAGTTGCATTTAAAAACCAGAAAAATCCTAGATTGCATTAAAAAAATAGAGGTATTGTCGATACCTCATAAAGAAAATTGCATTTTTTTAAGCATAACATAAATGAGCAGATAAGTTCTATATTGTTGAGGCGGATTCATTTTTTTACAAACTTCTTTTTGGGTATTTCGCCTCAAAAATTTTTGTCTAACCAATTTTGTCTTTAGAGAATTTCCTCACGTCGTTTAGTACAGATTGATAAATAGTGCTCCTATTTCGCAATAAAAACGAATTATTTATCAAAAAATAATCAAGAACTATCAAATAGAGGGTATCCTGCGACACACTTAGGCTCAAGCTGTAAGAGAAAATTCCAATTAGTAGAGAAATTAATTTGAAAAATTACCTTGACGTTTCGA